GAAGATGGAAGACTGAGTCAGGAAGATGGAAGATGGAGCATGTAAGATGGAAGATGGAAAATGGAAGATGGAGCATGGAGGATGGAAGATGGAGCATGAAAGATGGAAGATGGAAGATGGAAGATCGAGCATGGAAGATGGAAAATGAAAGATGGAGCATGGAAGATGGAAGATGGAAGATGGAGCACGGAAGATGGAGCATGGAAGATTGAAGATGGAAGATGGAAGATGGAAGATGGAGCATGGAATGTGGAAGATGGAAGATGCAAGATGGAGCATGGAAGATGGAAAATGAAAGATGGAGAATGGAATATGGAAGATGGAAGATGGAAGATGGAGCGTGGAATATGGAAGATGGAGTATGGAAGATGGAAGATGGAGCATGGAAGATGGAAGATGGAAAATGAAAGATATAGCATGGAAGATGGAAGGTGGAGCATGAAAGATGAAAGATGGAGCATGGAAGATGGAAGATGGAAGATGGAGCGTGGAGGATGCGGCATGGAAGATGGATCATGGAAAATGGAGAATGGAATATGGAAGATGGAGCATGGAAGATGGAGCATGGAGCATGGAAGATGGAAGTTGGAAGATGGAAGATGGAGCATGGAAGATGGAAGATAGAAGATGGAAGATGGAGCATGGAAAATGGAAAATAAAAGATGGAGCATGGAATATGGAAGATGGAAGATGGAAGATGGAGCATGGAAAATGGAAAATGGAAGATGGAAGATGCAAGACGGAGCATGGAAGATGGAAAATGAAACATGGAGCATGGAATATGGAAGATGGAAGATGGAGCATGGAAAGTGGAAGATGGAAGATGGAGCATGGAAAGTAGAAGATGGAAGAATGAAGATACAACATGAAAGATGGAAAATAAAGATGGAATATGGAAGATGGAAGATAGAGCATGGAATATGGAAGATGGAAGATTGAGTCAGGAATATGGAAGATGGAGCATGTAAAATGTAAGATGGAAAATGGAAGATGGAGCATGGAAGATGGAAGATGGAGCATGGAAGATGGAAGATGGAGCATTGAAGAAGGAAGATGGAAGATGGAGCATGGAAAATGGAAGATGGAAAATGGAATATGGAGCGTGGAAGATAGAAGATGGAGCATGGAAGATGGAAGATGGAAGATGGAGCATGGAAGATGGAAGATGGAGCATGGAAGATGGAAGATGGAAAATGGAAGATGCAAGATGGAGCCTGGAAGATGGAAGATGGAGCATGGAAGAAGGAAGATAGAAGATGGAAGTTGGAGCATGGAAGATGGATCATGGAAGATGGAAGATGGAAGATGGAAGCTGGAACATGGAGCATGGAAAGTGGAAGATGGAAGATGCAAGATGGAGCATGGAAGATGGAAAATGAAAGATGGAGAATGGAATATGGAAGATGGAAGATGGAGCATGGAATATGGAAGATGGAAGATGGAGTATAGGAGATGGAAGATGGAGCATGGAAGATGGAAGATGGAAGATGAAAAATGAAAGATGTAGCATGGAAGATGGAAGATGGAGCATGGAAGATGGAAGATGGAAAATGGAAGATGGAGCATTGAAGATGGAAGATGGAAGATGGAGCATGTAAGATGGAGCATGGAAGATGGAAGATGGAAGATGGAAAATGGAGCATGGAAAATGGAAGATGGAAAAAAGAAGATGGAGCGTGGAAGATAGAAGATGGAGCATGGAAGATGGAAGATGGAAGATGCAGCATTGAAGATGGAAGATGGAGCATGGAAGATGGAAGATGGAAGATGGAAGATGGAAAATGGAAAATGGAAAATGGAGCGTGGAAGAAGGAGCCTGGAAGATGGAAGATGGAGCATGGAAGAAGGAAGATGGAAGATGGATGATGGAAGTTGGAGCATGGAAGAAGGAAGATGGAAGATGGAAGATGGAAGTTGGAGCATAGAAGATGGAACATGGAAGATGGAAGATGGAAGATGGAAGATGGAGCATGGAAAGTGGAAGATGGAAGATGGAAGATGGAAGATGGAAGATGGAAGATGGAAAATGGAGCATGGAAAATGGAAGATGGAAAAAAGAAGATGGAGCGTGGAAGATAGAAGATGGAGCATGGAAGATGGAAGATGGAAGATGGAGCATTGAAGATGGAAGATGGAGCATGGAAGATGGAGCATGGAAGATGGAAGATGGAAGATGGAAGATGGAAGATGGAAAATGGAAAATGGAGCGTGGAAGAAGGAGCCTGGAAGATGGAAGATGGAGCGTGGAAGAAGGAAGATGGAAGATGGAAGATGGAAGTTGGAGCATGGAAGATGGAACATGGAAGATGGAACATGGAAGATGGAAGATGGAGAATGGAAAGTGGAAGATGGAAGATGCAAGATGGAGCATGGAAGATGGAAAATGAAAGATGGAGAATGGAATATGGAAGATGGAAGACGGAAGATGGAGCATGGAATATGGAAGATGGAGTATGGAAGATGGAAGATGGAGCATGGAAGATGGAAGATGGAAGATGCAAGATGGAGCATGGAAGATGGAAGATGGAAGATGAAAAATAAAAGATGTAGCATGGAAGATGGAAGATGGAGCATGGAAGATGGAAGATGGAAAATGGAAGATGGAGCATTGATGATGGAAGATGGAAGATGGAGCATGTAAGATGGAGCATGGAAGATGGAAGATGGAAAATGGAGCATGGAAAATGGAAGATGGAAAAAGAAGATGGAGCGTGGAAGATAGAAGATGGAGCATGGAAGATGGAAGATGGAAGATGGAGCATGGAAGATGGAAGATGGAGCATGGAAGATGGAGCATGGAAGATGGAAGATGGAAGATGGAAGATGGAAAATGGAAAATGGAGCGTGGAAGAAGGAGCCTGGAAGATGGAAGATGGAGCATGGAAGAAGGAAGATGGAAGATGGAAGATGGAAGTTGGAGCATAGAAGATGGAACATGGAAGATGGAAGATGGAAGATGGAAGATGGAGCATGGAAAGTGGAAGATGGAAGATGCAAGATGGAGCATGGAAGATGGAAAATGAAAGATGGAGAATGGAATATGGAAGATGGAAGATGGAAGATGGAGGATGGAATATGGAAGATGGAGTATGGAAGATGGAAGATGGAGCATGGAAGATGGAAGATGGAAAATGGAAAATGGAAAATGGAAAATGAAAGATGTAGCATGGAAGATGGAAGATGGAGCATGAAAGATGAAAGATGGAACATGGAAGATGGAGCATGAAAGATGGAAGATGGAAGATGAAGCGTGGAGGATGCGGCATGGAAGATGGAGTATGGAAAATGGAGAATGGAATATGGAAGATGGAGCATGTAGCATGGAAGATGGAAGTTGGAAGATGGAAGATGGAGCATGAAAGATGAAAGATGGAACATGGAAGATGGAGCATGAAAGATGGAAGATGGAAGATGAAGCGTGGAGGATGCGGCATGGAAGATGGAGTATGGAAAATGGAGAATGGAATATGGAAGATGGAGCATGTAGCATGGAAGATGGAAGTTGGAAGATGGAAGATGGAGCATGGAAGATGGAAGATAGAAGATGGAAGATGGAGCATGGAAAATGGAAAATGAAAGGTGGAGCATGGAATATGGAAGATGGAAGATGGAGCATGGAAAGTGGAAGATGGAAGACGGAAGATGCAAGACGGAGCAAGGAAGATGGAAAATGAAACATGGAGCATGGAATATGGAAGATGGAAGATGGAGCATGGAAAGTGGAAGATGGAAGATGGAGCATGGAAAGTAGAAGATGGAAGATGGAAGATAGAACATGAAAGATGGAAAATAAAGATGGAATGTGGAAGATGGAAGATAGAGCATGGAATATGGAAGATGGAAGACTGAGTCAGGAAGATGGAAGATGGAGCATGTAAGATGGAAGATGGAAAATGGAAGATGGAGCATGGAGGATGGAAGATGGAGCATGAAAGATGGAAGATGGAAGATGGAAGATCGAGCATGGAAGATGGAAAATGATAGATGGAGCATGGAAGATGGAAGATGGAAGATGGAGCACGGAAGATGGAGCATGGAAGATTGAAGATGGAAGATGGAAGATGGAAGATGGAGCATGGAAAGTGGAAGATGGAAGATGCAAGATGGAGCATGGAAGATGGAAAATGAAAGATGGAGAATGGAATATGGAAGATGGAAGATGGAGCGTGGAATATGGAAGATGGAGTATGGAAGATGGAAGATGGAGCATGGAAGATGGAAGATGGAAAATGAAAGATATAGCATGGAAGATGGAAGGTGGAGCATGAAAGATGAAAGATGGAGCATGGAAGATGGAGCATGGAAGATGGAGCATGGAAGATGGAAGATGGAGCGTGGAGGATGCGGCATGGAAGATGGAGCATGGAAAATGTGTTGTGTGATGTCATCATATGCTATCACATTCTGTCTGCCTCCCATCCCATGTTTTCAACTTGCATGTCTGGTTTGAATGTGCAAGCATTTGTGTGTGGTGTGTTCTGGAGTTTGGGAATGTGTTCTGTGTTATTTTTGTTTGAGCAGGTATTTGTGATGATAGATCTTGAGAAGATCTTTCCGACGCAACGAGAATCCCTTCAATCGGAGCAAGAACGCGAAAGCTATGAAGATTCAAAGTTCATGAGCTTGCGTTACGATTGCGGCGGTTACTAAGTGAAGTTGTGGGGTGAATTTATATGGAGTTGGGACCTTTGGGGTTGGGGAAATTTGTCACTCTACTGTAACAGCTGCAAATTGGTTGGGAACAACCAAGCTAGGTTGGCAAGGGTGGCCAACTTGGATGGATTGGTTGGGAAGGGACAAAGGTCAAAGTTGAGGTTCCTATAGGGAGGGAATCTTTGTGCTTATGGGGTTTCCTTGGTTTGGGACTCTCTTGGGACCTTCCCTCTCATCTCTCTCTTCTATCCCAACATTTTCTCTTGCTCCTCTAATTCCTTGTGAGATTCTTGAACTTTGATTGAACCTTTGAGATTGAGTTAAGTTCTCCTCCTACAGCTTACCCCCTAATGCGTCGAAAGCCATAGCGTCGCGAATACTTCATCAATCAACGTGATTCAAATTGGGAACGGTAGCTGAGATTACGAGCTACAACATATCCAAGTTTCGCGACATTCCAACGGCTAGTGTTTTGTCGACGTCGTTTCTTGTAAAGACGACTTTTCTGTCCAGAATTTCGGATTTATATTTTGAGTTATTCTAGCTCCTAAGTTCACCTAGACTCCGTCCTTAATCCTAACAAGTGGTATCAGAGCCATATTAAGGACATTGAGAGGAGTCTACAGAAGTGTAAAGACCCTTCTAGACCCACCATGGCCTGTGGGTGTGCCTAAGTGGTGTTGTAAAGGTTGGATGTGACTTCCGCTAAGGGGAAACTCTGCCGAAATTTCGTGGACGCCGATACTTGAGAAAATATCGAGGGAGCTGAGTGTGGACAGCAAAGGGGGAGCTGAAATTCGTCATTTCTCAAGGAGGAGATGAATGAGAGAGGAGGAGATGCTAATGGAAGAGGAGCTGTAGCTGAGAAGGCAAGTGAGCCGCCGCCATCAAAAGTTGAAGCTTTGGATGGCTCCAACTATGAGGAATGGAGCGGACGGATGAGGAGTGCCTTCAAACGCTACAAGCTACTGAAGATTGCTGTTGGGGAAGAGAAGATGCCGGAAGAAGGCGAAGCACGTGAACGGTGGATTGAGAAAAGCGCGGTGCTTTTCGACCTCATCCTTCAATCGGTCAACAAGGAGATGTTCGAGCACATCAAGGATCTTGTGGAAGCGGATGATGCGGGTCCAAGGGCGTGGAAACTACTACGTGATGTGATTCAGCCCAACACTCTCCCAATGGTGATCGTGCTCGAGAAGGAACTTGCTGCCATCTCCATGCGACCAGGGGATGATGTGAAGCCGGTCCTTGACAAGATCAAGGACACCTATGCAAGGATGGCAGCAGCAGGCAGCAGTGTATCTCAGCTGCAGCAGTGCACCAAGATCATCTCGGTGTTGGACAACTCTTGGGACAACCTCATCCCCACCCTCAACTCTCAGCAAGATCAATGGACACCTGAGTGGCTAAGGCAGCAGATTCTGCAGGAGGACTTCCGTAGACGCCATGTGGGAGGCGGTGCTGCCACTACGACTGCTGAGGGGTATGGAGCTGTAGGGCGCGGCAGAGGAAGAGGGGGTTGGAGAGGCCGAGGCCGTGGGAGGAGCTTTGGCAGAGGTAGAGGCCGAGGTGACTATAATGAGGGGCATGGGAGCTCCAGTGGCAGGGGGAGTACCAGAATGGAGGGCACCTGCTGGTACTGCAAGAAGGTCGGGCATCCTTGGTTCAAGTGCTTCAGCAGGCCGGAGGGATGGGCACCTCCAGGCATGAAGCCGCCCAGTGGTGAACGCGCACAAGGTGGCGCTGTGCAAGGCTCAGGTGCACAAGGTGAAGGTGCACAAGGTAATGCCTATCCTGGTTTGTTTCTTATGGTTGAGGATGTGCATGGGCATGAGGGTGATGTGGGATTTGTGGGAAAGGTTGTGATGCACCCTCTCACGCACTGGGTGATTGATTCGGGTTGCACCAGTCACATGACCCCACGGGCAGATTTGCTTGATGAGGTAAAACCCCCCTGGGAAGATTAAGTATGTGGCAGCAGCGTCAGGTGCTTTGCTCCCCGTGATTGGTGTTGGGAATGCCAAGGTTAAGGGAGCTAATGGGGAGCTTGTGGGGCTTGGGAATGTTCTGCTGGTTAAAGGCTTGTCTGCTAACCTTCTCTCTGTGCGGCGGCTGCAGAAGAGTAAGGCCGAAGTGACCTTTGGACCAACCAGCTGCCGTGCTAAGCTTGGGAAGAAGGTGCTGTGGAGTCTGGAAGAGGAGACCAGCTGCATCAAGGACCTGTGGCAGCTGCCCATCATCCCTTGGAATGGGAAGACTCCAACAGCAGCAACGGCAGCAGTGGCAAAGGCAACAGCAGGAGGAGATGCAACTGCACCAACTGATGGGGTCCTGGAAGCAGTCAAGAAAGTGCAGAAGCAGCAGACACATGGTGAGGTGCTTGCTGGTGTGGATGCGAGTGCGTCATGGGCTAAGGCTTCATCAAAGAGTGGAGAGGCCGATTGGGAGACATGGCATGAGAGGCTGTGTCATGTGAACTTCCCTATGCTACAGAAGTTGGTGAAGGATGGGAGCCTGAAGGGCTTGGAGGTGAAAGGGGAAGTGAAGGAGATTGGGAGCTGCCCTACATGCTTGGAGACCAAGTTCTCCAAGTTCCCCTTCAACAGTGCAACTGGATCAGCCAAGACCCCACTTGCACTTGTGCACATGGATGTGGTGGGGCCCACAAGAGCCCCTTCCCTCTCAGGCAGCCGCTATTTCTTGACAATTGTGGATGACCACACTTGGGCAGTGTGGGTTTACCCTTTGAAGAGCAAAGGGGAGGTGGCAGCGGCTGTCCTTAAGGAGTGGATGCCGAGAGCTCAGAGGGAATGCGGACACAAGGTGAAGGTGATCCATAGTGACAATGGTGGGGAGTTCATTGGAGCTGATTTTGAGGGGGAGTTGAAGAGGAAGGGGATCCAGCATCAACTGACAGTGCCCTACAACCCACAGCAGAATGGCGTGGCTGAGAGGTTCAACAGGACCCTGGAGGAGGGGGCACGCACTCTCCTTGGGCGTGCAGGGCTGCCTGATCCGTTTTGGGTGTCTGCACTGAGGCAGGTCGCCCTTGTGAAGAACAGGGTGCTGGCTACAGTTGGAGATAAGGAGTGGATCCCATACGTCAAGTGGTATGGGAGTGCTCCAGCTGTGAACATGCTGAGGGCATTTGGGTGCATGGTGGTGTTTCATGTGCCTAAGGAGAAAAGGGGGAAGTTGGAGGCTTCTGGAAGATGGGGTGTGCACTTGGGGATTGCAAAGGATCACAAGGGGTGGCTGCTATGGGACTTGACCACCCAGAAGTTGACAGTGTCAAGGGATGTGAAGTTTCTTGAGTCCCTGTACTACAAGGAATGGAAGCAGCAGCAACAGAAGCTTCCATCTACACCGCTCATTGTGGAGGCAGATGAGGTGCAGCAGCCTTCAAGACAGGTGGAGGTTGCAGTGTCAGAGGAGGAGATGTCTGGGGTGACTGAGGAAGGGGGAGCAGCTGAAGTAGAGCAGCAGCAGCAGCAGCATGAGTCTCCACCTCGAGTTCCACACCCGCCTGAGCGTCCTAGGAGGGATGTGCGCCCTCCAGTGAGGCTGACCTATGGGGGAAGAGGCAAGCCGAATGTGGTGCAGGCTGGGAGTGTGGTTGAGCAGATTGAGGAAGATGAGATCGCTCACTGCTACTGGGCACCAATCCCTGAGCCCAAGACTCGAGAAGAGGCCTTGAATGGACCAAATGGGGAGAAGTGGAAGGCGAGTGAGGATGAGGAGTTCGGGTCCCTAATTGAGAACGAGACATGGGACCTGTGTGACTTGCCTCCTGGAAAGAAAGCAATCACTTCCAAGATGATCTACAGGCACAAGTATGGACCTGAAGGGGAGCTGACCCGCTACAAGTCTAGGCTTGTGGCACGGGGGTTTCAGCAGACAAAGGGGAAGGACTATGATGAGGTGTTTGCTCCTGTGGGGAAAGGAACAACACTGAGGGTGCTGTTGGCGATAGCTGCACTCCTGGGATGGAAGATTCGGCAGATGGATATTGTGACTGCCTTTCTGAATGGGATCATTATGGAGGAGGTGTACATGAAGCAGCCAGAGGGGCTGGATGACGGGAGCGGCAGGGTCTGCAGGCTGAAGAAGGCCATCTATGGCCTTAAGCAGGCGCCTCGTGCATGGTATCACAAGTTGGAGGAGGCGCTGTTGGCTGGGGGTTTCAAGAAGAGTGAGTGTGACCCCAGCCTGTTCCTGCTGCAGGAGAAGGATGAAATCCTCATGCTCGTGGTGTATGTGGATGATATCCTTCTCTTTTCTGCATCCACTGCTTTGCTGGACAGCGCAGAGCAGATGCTGGAGATGCAGTTCAAGTGCTCCAAGATGGGTGAGGTGAAGTACTACTTGGGGATGCACGTGGAGAGAGATGTGGAAAAGGGTGTGCTGAGGTTGCACCAGAGGAAGTACTGTGAGGGGCTGGCTGAGAAGTATGGGCTGCAAGATGGGGGAAAGCCAGCAACACCACTACCTTCAGGGTTTACTGTGGAGCCATGTGCTGATGAGGAGGTAGTGGGTGAGAGTGACAGGAAGCTGTTTCATTCGATGGTTGGGTCGCTGAATTATGCTGCAAATCATACACGGCCTGACATTGCATTTTCTACATCACGGTTGGCTAGTGTGGTCTCACGCCCTAGTCATGAGCAGCTGGAAGCGGCCAAGAGGTTGGTCCGCTATGTGAGTGCTACGGCATCAGTGGGATTGGAGTACAGTGGAGTGAGGCAGCGGTTGCAGAGAGGTGCTGCATATGTGAAGAGTGGAGAGATGCTCTTGAGTTGCTATACTGACGCTAGCTTCAACTCTGTGAAAGCGGATGGCACCAGCATTCGGGGTTATGTGTGCTTGCTAGGAGGTGGTGCTGTGAGCTGGCGCAGCAAGAAGCAGAATGAGGTGGGATTCTCTTCATGTGAGACTGAGTACATGGCCTTACACCATGGGGCCAAGGAAGTAGTGTGGCTAAGGCGTTTGTTGGAGGAGTTGGGAGTTGGTCAGGAGAAGCCGACAGTTGTGTTTTGTGACAATGAGTCCGCTGTGAAGCTCGCCAAGAATGCTTGTCTGCATGGGCTGACAAAACACATAAGGCCTAAGTGGCATTGGGTGAGGAGACTCCTTGATAAGGAGGTGCGGCTGGAGATAGTGAAGACCCATCAGCAGGCAGCAGATATTTTCACTAAGCGTCTGGCGGAGGCGGATCATTGGAAGGGCATGAAGCTTGCTGGGATGAGTGTGCATTGAGTATGCATGCTTGAGATGTGGTATGGTGGATGATGGTTGGAAGCCAGAGGGGGAGATTGTTGTGTGATGTCATCATATGCTATCACATTCTGTCTGCCTCCCATCCCATGTTTTCAACTTGCATGTCTGGTTTGAATGTGCAAGCATTTGTGTGTGGTGTGTTCTGGAGTTTGGAAATGTGTTCTGTGTTATTTTTGTTTGAGCAGGTATTTGTGATGATAGATCTTGAGAAGATCTTTCCGACGCAACGAGAATCCCTTCAATCGGAGCAAGAACGCGAAAGCTATGAAGATTCAAAGTTCATGAGCTTGCGTTACAATTGCGGCGGTTACTAAGTGAAGTTGTGGGGTGAATTTATATGGAGTTGGGACCTTTGGGGTTGGGGAAATTTGTCACTCTACTGTAACAGCTGCAAATTGGTTGGGAACAACCAAGCTAGGTTGGCAAGGGTGGCCAACTTGGATGGATTGGTTGGGAAGGGACAAAGGTCAAAGTTGAGGTTCCTATAGGGAGGGAATCTTTGTGCTTATGGGGTTTCCTTGGTTTGGGACTCTCTTGGGACCTTCCCTCTCATCTCTCTCTTCTATCCCAACATTTTCTCTTGCTCCTCTAATTCCTTGTGAGATTCTTGAACTTTGATTGAACCTTTGAGATTGAGTTAAGTTCTCCTCCTACAGCTTACCCCCTAATGCGTCGAAAGCCATAGCGTCGCGAATACTTCATCAATCAACGTGATTCAAATTGGGAACGGTAGCTGAGATTACGAGCTACAACATATCTAAGTTTCGCGACATTCCAACGGCTAGTGTTTTGTCGACGTCGTTTCTTGTAAAGACGACTTTTCTGTCCAGAATTTCGGATTTATATTTTGAGTTATTCTAGCTCCTAAGTTCACCTAGACTCCGTCCTTAATCCTAACAAAATGGAGAATGGAATATGGAAGATGGAGCATGGAGCATGGAAGATGGAAGTTGGAAGATGGAAGATGGAGCATGGAAGATGGAAGATAGAAGATGGAAGATGGAGCATGGAAAATGGAAAATATAAGATGGAGCATGGAATATGGAAGATGGAAGATGGAAGATGGAGCATGGAAAATGGAAAATGGAAGATGGAAGATGCAAGACGGAGCATGGAAGATGGAAAATGAAACATGGAGCATGGAATATGGAAGATGGAAGATGGAGCATGGAAAGTGGAAGATGGAAGATGGAGCATGGAAAGTAGAAGATGGAAGAATGAAGATACAACATGAAAGATGGAAAATAAAGATGGAATATGGAAGATGGAAGATAGAGCATGGAATATGGAAGATGGAAGATTGAGTCAGGAATATGGAAGATGGAGCATGTAAAATGGAAGATGGAAAATGGAAGATGGAGCATGGAAGATGGAAGATGGAGCATGGAAGATGGAAGATGGAGCATGGAAGATGGAAGATGGAAAATGGAAGATGAAGCATTGAAGATGGAAGATGGAAGATGGAAGATGGAGCATGGAAAATGGAAGATGGAAAATGGAAGATGGAGCGTGGAAGATAGAAGATGGAGCATGGAAGATGGAAGATGGAAGATGGAGCAAGGAAGATGGAAGATGGAGCATGGAAGATGGAAGATGGAAAATGGAAGATGCACGATGGAGCCTGGAAGATGGAAGATGGAGCATGGAAGAAGGAAGATAGAAGATGGAAGTTGGAGCATGGAAGATGGATCATGGAAGATGGAAGATGGAAGATGGAAGCTGGAAGATGGAGCATGGAAAGTGGAAGATGGAAGATGCAAGATGGAGCATGGAAGATGGAAAGTGAAAGATGGAGAATGGAATATGGAAGATGGAAGATGGAGCATGGAATATGGAAGATGGAAGATGGAGTATGGGAGATGGAAGATGGAGCATGGAAGATGGAAGATGGAAGATGAAAAATGAAAGATGTAGCATGGAAGTTGGAAGATGGAGCATGGAAGATGGATGATGGAAAATGGAAGATGGAGCATTGAAGATGGAAGATGGAAGATGGAGCATGTAAGATGGAGCATGGAAGATGGAAGATGGAGCATGGAAAATGGAAGATGGAAAATGGAAGATGGAACGTGGAAGATAGAAGATGGAGCATGGAAGATGGAAGATGGAAGATGGAGCATGGAAGATGGAAGATGGAGCATGGAAGATGGAGCATGGAAGATGGAAGATGGAAGATGGAAGATGGAAGATGGAAGATGGAAAATTGAGCCTGGAAGATGGAAGATGGAGCATGGAAGAAGGAAGATGGAAGATGGAAGTTGGATCATGGAAGATGGAAGATGGAAGATGGAAGATGGAAGATGGAAGATGGAAGATGGAGCATGGAAAGTGGAAGATGGAAGATGCAAGATGGAGCATGGAAGATGGAAAATGAAAGATGGAGAATGGAATATGGAAGATGGAAGATGGAAGATGGAGCATGGAATATGGAAGATGGAGTATGGAAGATGGAAGATGGAGCATGGAAGATGGAAGATGGAAAATGAAAGATGTAGCATGGAAGATGGAAGATGGAGCATGAAAGATGAAAGATGTAACATGGAAGATGGAGCATGAAAGATGGAAGATGGAAGATGGAGTGTGGAGGATGCGGCATGGAAGATGGAGTATGGAAAATGGAGAATGGAATATGGAAGATGGAGCATGTAGCTTGGAAGATGGAAGTTGGAAGATGGAAGATGGAGCATGGAAGATGGAAGATAGAAGATGGAAGATGGAGCATGAAAAATGGAAAATGAAAGGTGGAGCATGGAATATGGAAGATGGAAGATGGAAGATGGAGCATGGAAAATGGAAGATGGAAGATGGAAGATGCAAGACGGAGCATGGAAGATGGAAAATGAAACATGGAGCATGGAATATGGAAGATGGAAGATGGAGCATGGAAAGTGGAAGATGGAAGATGGAGCATGGAAAGAAGAAGATGGAAGATGGAAGATAGAACATGAAAGATGGAAAATAAAGATGGAATATGGAAGATGGAAAGTAGAGCATGGAATATGGAAGATGGAAGACTAAGTTAGGAAGATGGAAGATGGAGCATGTAAGATGGAAGATGGAAAATGGAAGATGGAGCATGGAGGATGGAAGATGGAGCATGAAAGATGGAAGATGGAAGATCGAGCATGGAAGATGGAAAATGATAGATGGAGCATGGAAGATGGAAGATGGAAGATGGAGCACGGAAGATGGAGCATGGAAGATTGAAGATGGAAGATGGAAGATGGAAGATGGAGCATGGAAAGTGGAAGATGGAAGATGCAAGATGGAGCATGGAAGATGGAAAATGAAAGATGGAAAATGGAATATGGAAGATGGAGCGTGGAATATGGAAGATGGAGTATGGAAGATGGAAGATGGAGCATGGAAGATGGAAGATGGAAATTGAAAGATATAGCATGGAAGATGGAAGGTGGAGCATGAAAGATGAAAGATGGAGCATGGAAGATGGAGCATGAAAGATGGAAGATGGAAGATGGAGCGTGGAGGATGCGGCATGGAAGATGGAGCATGGAAAATGGAGAATGGAATATGGAAGATGGAGCATGGAAGATGGAGCATGTAGCATGGAAGATGGAAGTTGGAAGATGGAAGATGGAGCATGGAAGATGGAGGATAGAAGATGGAAGATGGAGCATGGAAAATGGAAAAAAAAAAAAGATGGAGCATTGAATATGGAAGATGGAAGATGGAAGATGGAGCATGGAAAATGGAAGATGGAAGATGGAAGATGGAAGATGCAAGACGGAGCATGGAAGATGGAAAATGAAACATGGAGCATGGAATATGGAAGATGGAAGATGGAGCATGGAAAGTAGAAGATGGAAGATGAAGATACAACATGAAAGATGGAAAATAAAGATGGAATATGGAAGATGGAAGATAGAGCATGGAATATGGAAGATGGAAGACTGAGTCAGAAAGATGGAAGATGGAGTATGTAAAATGGAATATGGAAAATGGAAGATGGAGCATGGAAGATGGAAGATGGAGCATGGAAGATGGAAGATGGAGCATGGAAGATGGAAGATGGAAAATGGAAGATGGAGCATTGAAGATGGAAGATGGAAGATGGAGCATGGAAAATGGAAGATGGAAAATGGAATATGGAGCGTGGAAGATAGAAGATGGAGCATGGAAGATGGAAGATGGAAGATGGAGCATGGAATATGGAAGATGGAGCATGGAAGATGGAAAATGGAAGATGGAAGATGGAGCCTGGAAGATGGAAGATGGAGCATGGAAGAAGGAAGATAGAAGATGGAAGTTGGAGCATGGATTATGGATCATGGAAGATGGAAGAGGGAATGTGGAAGATGGAATGTGGAAGATGGAAGATGGAGCATGGAAAGTGGAAGATGGAAGATGCAAGATGGAGCATGGAAGATGGAAGATGGAGCATGGAAGAAGGAAGATAGAAGATGGAAGTTGGAGCATGGAAGATGGATCATGGAAGATGGAAGATGGAATGTGGAAAATGGAAGATGGAGCATGGAAAGTGGAAGATGGAAGATGCAAGATGGAGCATGGAAGATGGAAAATGAAAGATGGAGAATGGAATATGGAAGATGGAAGATGGAAGATGGAGCATGGAATATGGAAGATGGAGTATGGAAGATGGAAGATGGAGCATGGAAGATGGAAGATGGAAAATGAAACATGTAGCATGGAAGATGGAAGATGGAGCATGAAAGATAAAAGATGGAACATGGAAGATGGAGCATGAAAGATGGAAGATGGAAGATGAAGCGTGGAGGATGCGGCATGGAAGATGGAGTATGGAAAATGGAGAATGGAATATGGAAGATGGAGCATGTAGCATGGAAGATGGAAGTTGGAAGATGGAAGATGGAGCATGGAATATGGAAGATGGAAGATGGAGCATGGAAAGTAGAAGATGGAAGATGGAAGATGCAACATGAAAGATGGAAAATAAAGATGGAATATGGAAGATGGAAGATAGAGCATGGAATATGGAAGATGGAAGACTGAGTCAGGAAGATGGAAGATGGAGCATGTAAAATGGAAGATGGAAAATGGAAGATGGAGCATGGAAGATGGACGTTGGAGCATGGAAGATGGAAGATGGAGCATGAAAGATGGAGCATGAAAGATGGAAGATGGAAGATGGAAGATGGAGCATGGAAGATGGAAGATGGAGCATGGAAGATGGAAAATGAAACATGGAGCATGGAAGATGGAAGATGGAAGATGGAGCACAGAAGATGGAGCATCGAAGATGGAAGATGGAGCATGGAAGATTGAAGACGGAGCATGGAAGATGGAAGATGGAAGATGGAGCATGGAAAATGGAAGATGGAAGCTGGAAGATGGAGCATGGAAGATGTAAGATAGAAGAAGGAGCATGGAAGATGGAGCATGGAAAATGGAAGATGGAAGATGGAGCATGGAAGATGGAAAATGAAAGATGGAAAGTGGAAGATGGAGCATGGAACATGGAAGATGGAAGATGGAGCATGGAAGATGGAAGATGGAAGATGGAAGATGGAAGATGGAAGATGGAGCATGGAAAGTGGAACATGGAAGATGGAAGATGGAGTATGGAGGATGCAGCATGGAAGATGGAGCATGGAAGATGGAGAAAGGAATATGGAAGATGGAAGATGAAAGATAGAGCGTGTAAGATGGAAGATGAAAGATGGAAGATGGAGCATGGAAAATGGAAAATGGAAAATGGAAGATGGAACATGGAAGATAGAAGATGGAAGATGGAGCATGGAAGATGTAAGATAGAAGAAGGAGCATGGAAGATGGAGCTTGGAAGGTGGAAGATGGGGCATGGAAGATGGAAAATGAAAGATGGAAAGTGGAAAATGGAGCATGGAAGATGGAAGATGGAGCATAGAAGATGGAAAAGGGAAGATGGAAGATGGAAGGTGGAGCATGGAAGATGGAAGATGGAGCTTTGAAGATGGAAGATGGAAGATGGAAAATGGAAGATGGGGCATGGATGTTGGAAGATGGAAGATGGAGGGTGGAAGATGGAAGATGGAGCATGGAGCATGGAAAATGGAAAATGGAAAATGGAAAATGGAGAATGGAAAATGGAAAATGGAAAATGGAAAATGGAAAATGGAAACTGGAAGATGGAAGCTGGAAGATGGAGCATGGAAGATGGAGCATGGAAGATGGAGCATGGAAGATGGAGCATGGAAGATGGAAGAGGGACGATGGAAGATGGAAGATGGAAGATGGAGCATGGAACATAGAAGATGGAAGATGGAATATGCAAAATGGAAAATGGAAAATGGAAGATGGAAGATGGAAGATGGAGCATGGAATATGGAAGATGGAAGATGGAAGGTGGAAGCTGGAGCATGGAATATAGAAGATGGAAGATGGAAGGTAGAATATAGAGGATGGAAGATGGAAGATGGAGCATGGTAGTTGGAAGATGGAAGATAGAAGATGGAGCATGGAAGATGTAGCATGGAAGATGGAAGATGGAACATGGAAGATGGAGCACGGAAGATGGAAGATGGAGGATGGAAGTTGGAGCATGGAAGATGCAGCATGGAAGATGGGATATGGGGTATAGAAGATGTAAGATTGAAGATGGAAAATGAAGGATGGAGCATGAAAGATGGAGCATGAAAGATGGAAAATGGAAGATGGAGCATGGAAGATGGAAGATGGAGTATGGAAGATGGAAAATGGAAAATGGAAAATGGAAAATGGAAAATGGAAAATGGAAATGGAAAATGGAAAATGGAAAATGGAAAATGGAAAATGGAAAATGGAAAATGGAAGATGAAGCATGGAAGATGGAAGATGGAAGATGTTATAACCATAATATGCTCTGATGTACCAAAATGGAGAGATAGAGTGCTTAGTCAGATTTCCGTCAGACTACTTCAAATATTGATACCGATCTGATCTATGCCCGAAATGGTGATCTCTAAGTTGGATCTAGAGCGCGTTGCTATTGCCTATCAGCAAAAAATTGAATCATGAAATTCTATAACGATTTAACGACGCTATGGAGGTTTGACCGGCAGAAGGTAGAGCAACCACAATAGTCTGAGAAGTACAAATTTAGCAAGAAGAATCGAGATTGAGATGGTTCCCAGCCTCTACAAACTCCAAGAGCCGAGGTCCATGTTGGTGGTACACCACCACAGAGTCCCCAAACATGAAGAGTCTCGAAACAAACCCAACAAGGGCTACACCAAGTGAAATGTAACACTACATGAAGTAGCATTACTATTTTAATAAATTATCCGCATCCCTAGGGCTTGAAATCTTGAGCTCTTGGTCTTGATTCTGCAAGATGAGTTCTTCTTGAGTTGATGAGGGCTTGCTGTACTCACCTGCGTCGCAATGGTCTCTTCACACTCGACAAAATAGAAAAACACATGCGACGCGCAAACGACGACTTGTTATGCGAGTTGTGAAAACTCGCTAATGTCTTAATCGACACAAACTACAGTGTAGTACACCATTCAAGCACATACACAAGCACTAGATAGCAATAACATAGACTCACAAGTCATTCCATGCTATGCATGCACACACACGAACAAGGACGACAAGCCGAGTGCAAGCCATAGGGTTGCACCAACAAACTCCCCCACGGATTTTTTGCCTTAGAATCTGCTCCCCTTAGTTCAGAGCCATCCCAGCAAGCTTGCAACACTTGCAATGCTGCTGCTCAACCAGCCTTTTGGTCATCATATCACCTGGCTGCGCCGTCGTCTTCATGTAGTGCAACTCCACTTCACCCTCGGTTACCATGCTCCTCACCCAATGCCACTTCACCTTCATGTGCTTGGTAAGGCCATGAAGAATTGGGTTCTTAGCCAATGCAATAGCACCTTGGCTATCACAGTAGAGTGGGGTAGGTCCTTGCTACTCTTCTCCCAATTCAGCTAGCAAACAGTTGCTGTTTGGCCAAGGTACTTCGCCACTCTCTCTCCAGCTGCTACCTGATCTTCATTAGGGCATTGGACAACCCTAGCTAGCTGCCCGGTGGCAAAGGCTGCATCCGGCCTTGTGTGAACGGCCGCATACATGAGGCTGCCCACCAAGGAGTGAAAACGGCGCCTCTCCTCTTCACCAACACTTTCCTCCGCTTGTCCTTTCACACACTTGAACCTCGAGGGTAGAGGAGTTGCCACATAACCTTCATCCTTCCCAAAGTTTGCAGCCAAGGCCTCCAAGTAATTCTTTTGATGCACTCGCATCCACCGCTTCTCCACATCTCGCTCAATGTGAAGCCCAAGGTAGTAGTTGACGTCACCAAGGGTCTTGCACTTGAACTTCTCTTGAAGCTTCAGCGTCACCTCCTTCACAAGGTCAGAGGAGGGCGAGATTATGAGGATGTCATCCACATAAACGGCCATGAAGCTCCTCTGCTTCCCCTCGCCAAGCATGAACATGGATTGATCGGCCGTTGAGGGAGTGAAACCGATCGCCTCCAAGACTTCCCGCAGCTTGATGTACCATTGCCTAGGGGCTTGCTTGAGGCCATAGAGTGTTTTCTTCAACTTCCACACTCTACCACTCTCATCATTGTACCCCTCTGGCTGCTTCATGAAGGTCTCTTCCTCCAAAACTCCGTTGAATAAGGCCGTAACTACATCCATTTGCTTCACCACCCATCCTTCGATGGCCCCCGCAGCGAAGAGAGTTCGAGGGGTTGTACCCTTCACCACAGGAGCATATACTTTATTGTAGTCCTTCTTATCCTGCTGCTGGCACCCCTTGGCACCCCTTTTACAAGTCCTGAAATCGTCCAAGTACCTTTTGTGATTCGTGACGTGAGAATCTTCGCCAGCACATACTGGAATGGAAGTTCTCCTCACAGAGCTCCATGCTACGAGACTAGTTGGTCAGGATTCATGAAAATAGTACACGGAATGGATCAGGATTTCAAGGAGAATCCAGTCGGAAACATTCAGCGTTTCGGAAAATCCCAGCCTGTTAAAATCTGGGTTCGGGGCTTGAACAACTCTTAATTTCTTGACATTTATGGTAGCTACCCTTCTAGCATTAGCCCTGGAGTCAAGGCTTTGTTCTTGGCAACACAAGCATGCTGCACCGCATCTGGCCAAAAGTACTTGGGTAGAACGGCTTCAATAAGAAGTCCCCGAGCCGTCTCTGTGAGTGTCCGATTCGCACGCTCGGCGATGCCGTTCATTGCAGGAGAGTAGGGCATGGTGAGAGAGTGCCTTATGCCCTGCTTCTTCAGCAAAGTTGAGAAGTCCTTGCTCAGGAACTCTCCCCCACAGTCAGTGCGAATCGCCTTCACAAGCCGGTCTTGTTGCCGCTCCACCATCGGCAACCAATCGGTCTTCACCGTTTCAGCTACGTCACTCTTCTTGGGCAGCACATACACCCAAGTCATGCGAGTGTAGACATCCACTATAGTGAGGAAGTACTCAGCTCCAGCAGCTCCAAGCTTCAAGGGGCCAACCACATCCATCACCACCTCATCAAGTAGTGCCTTCGCCGTTGTCTCCGAGCTATGGAACGGGTAGCGGGTGAACTTGGCTTGCATGCATGTTGGACAGCCAAGCACCTCATTGGGCTCCCCCTTGACACGTATCCTACTGACCATCTCTTACTTAACTATCTGCTGCAAAATGGGCAACGCCACATGCCCCATTCGCCGATGCAAGGTCAGCCAATCACACTCTCCCATAGCGGGAGTCGGGTTGGAGAAAACAGCACTCGCAATTCTGCCCCACAAGCTCTCTCCTTTCTCCTTCGCCACTGTTGCTTTGATGATCTTAGGCTTTTCCTCCTCATTTCCACCACCTTTGGCTGCTGCACCACTCTCCTTGGGTTCACACGCCTTGCTGGCCTCTCCAAGATTGCACTCCTTCGAGTCACTCTTGGTGTCACTTTGCTTTCCGTGATCACCGCCACCAACAACTTCACTCTTGGTGCTGACGCTTGCTGCCACTTGCCTCTCCTTAGGCATGGGGACCACTGGGATTTGCCACATCTCATTGTAGATGTCCCTATCCTCATGAAGGTCCCAAAGCTTCCGCTCACCAAGCCTCGCGGTATATGTTTTGGATCTCTTGGAAGATGTGTCCATGCCGGCCTTTTGCAAACGCCGCATGGAAATCAGGTTGGCTGCTAGGTTGGGCACCCAAAGCACGTTCTTGAGGCCCACCATCTTCCCATCAGCACCCTTGAACATGGCCTTGCCCATGCCTTTCACATCTGCTCGCTGCCCCAAAGCCGATGTAACATGCTTGACCGGCGACGGTTCGAGTTCGGTGAGCAAGTCCGCATGAGGTGTCATGCTATAGGTGGCGCCGCTATCGATCACCTAAAAGTACAGAGAGTGAAGGGTGACCTTTCCCACAGTAGCTGACTCCTCAAAGCCTTCCACAACTCCTTCTGGAGCTGCCGCTTGCGTGGAGACAAAGAAGAATTGGCCCGGGTATCGATCTTCACTTGGGTCCGTATCGTAGTCTCCACCTTTCATGCTTGCCGCTTCGCTTCCACGACCACCACGGCCTCCACGACCTCTGCCTCTTCCTCCCCTTACTCCTTTGCCCTTTTGGCCTTGAGAAGGGGTCCATCCTTTGGGCAATCTGAAGCAATCTCTCCACATGTGGCCAGTCTTGTGGCAAAAGTGACATTCGCCATCAAATCGACGCGCCCACGCACGTAGCCGTTATTGTTGTTGTTGCTGCCATATCCTCCATTACCACGGCCTCCACTAAAATTGCTGCTGCCAAATCTGCCTCCTCGCCTTCTGCCCCTTCCACGGCCGCCCACACGGCCCATGCTTGCGACTCTGGCACCATCGAGACCTGCAAATTCGCGACGACGGAAATCTTCTTGTAAGATTTCCCGCTTCACATCTTCGAGCGAGAGGTGGGGCAGATCTCGATTTAGGTTGATGATGAGCGAGGACCATGAGTCCGGAAGCAAGGCCAGCAGCTTGGTCTTCTTTTGAAGTTCACTGTAGTTCAGGTCAGCTTACTTCGAGCCGTGTCAACAAGTCGAAGAATTTACTAGCTCCTTCCTCCACCGGTTCGCCTTTGTCAATTCGAAGTGCCGCCATTTGCCGCTCCAAAACCACAGCCACCACCGCTATTACAGGAGCGTGTACACCCTTGAAAGCAGCCCATGCCTTTGGTCCCTTTGCTGGTTCACACTAGAAAGGCTTGATGTGACGGATTTGGCTGCTCCCCAACGCTTGCCCAAGTAGAAGATAGCCTTGTGCGCTCTTCCGCACCCACGGACTCTTCTCCTGGTCGTTCTCGGGGCGCTTCTCCGTTCCTTCCATCACCTCCAGCATATCATAGTGGTCAAATATGTTCTCCATCTTGAAGGACCACTCAGCAAAGTTGTCACCGTTGAACTTGTCAAGGCCAAACACTCTAGGCTCATCCCTAGAGGGGCCAAGGCTAGGTTGCAGGGGAGCAACGGGTGGATCTTGGTGTTGACCTTGTACTTTGGCATCTTCTCTGCCTCCAGCACCTTTGCCACCCCCTTCCCCAGGTCTAGGCATGGTCGAAGTGGCTCCAAGGGGCTCTGATACCACGTGTTATAACCACAATAAGCTCAGATGTGCCAAAATTGACAGATAGAGTGCACAGTCGGATTTCCGTCAGACTAATTCAAATATTAATACAGATCTATACTCTGCCTAAAACGGTGATTTGTAAATTGAATCTAAAGTGCGTTGCTGTCGCCTATCAGCAGCAAGTTGAATCAAGAAGTTCCATGAAGATTTGACGACGCTATGGCAGTTTGACTAGCAGGAGGTAGAGCCGCCGCTATATTCTTAGAAGTACAAACTTAGCAAGAAACTAGACGAGATTGAGATGGTTCCCAGCCTCTATAAACTCCAAGAGCCGAGGTCCAGGTTGGTGGTACACCACCACATAGTCCCCAACCACGAAGAGTCTCGAAACAAACCCAACAAGGGCTATACTAAGTGAAATGTTACACTACACGAAGTACATGCTCCATCTTCCATCTTCCATGCTCCATCTTCCATGCTCCACCTTCCATGCTTCTTCTTCTATCTTCCATCTTCCATGCTCCATCTTCCAGCTTCCATCTTCCATCTTCCATCTTCCATCTTCCATCTTCCATATTCCATGCTCCGTCTTCCATCTTCCATCTTCCATCTTCCATGCTCCATCTTCCATCTTCCATCTTCGATCTTCCATCTTCTATCGTCCATTTTCCATCTTCGATCTTCCATCTTCTATCGTCCATTTTCCATCTTCCATCTTCCATGCTCCATTTTCCATGCTCCGTCTTCCATGCTCCATCTTCCATCTTCCATGCTCCATCTTTCATCTTCCATCTTCCATCTTCCATCTTCCATGCTCCATCTTACATCTTGCATCTACATGCTCCATCTTCTATCTTCCATCTTCTATGCTCCATGTTTCATTTTCCATATTCCATGCTCCATCTTCCATCTTCCATCTTCCATCTTCCACTTTCCATGCTCCGTCTTCCATCTTCTATACTCCATCTTCCATCCTCCATGCTCCATCTTCCATCTTCCATGCTCCATCTTCCATGCTGGGTGAATGGGGAACTGGGGTAGTGAGTGAATGGTGAGTGGGTGAATGGGTGAATGGGTGGAGGGATGAATGGGTGATTGGGTGAATGTGTGAGTGGGTGACTGGGTGAGTGGGTGAGTGCGTGAGGGTGTGAGTGTGTGAGTGGGTGAGTGGGCGCATGGGCGAGTGGGTGATTGGTTCAATGGGTGAGTCGGTGAGAGTGGGTGAGTGGGTGAATGGGTGATTGGGTGAATGGGAGAGTGGGTGAGTGGGTGAACGGGTGAGTGGGTGTGTGGGTGAGTGGGTGAGTTGGTGAATGTGTGAGTGGGTAAGTGGATGCATGCGTGAATGGGTAAATGGTTTAGTTGGTGAATGGGTGAGTGGGTGGGTGGGTGAGTAACTACATTGGTGAGTGGGTGAATGGGTGAATGGGTGAATGGGTTAATGGGTGAATGGGTGAATGGGTGAATGGGTGAATGGGTGAATGAGTGAATGGGTGAATGGGTGAATGGGTGAATGGGTGAATGGGTGAATGGGTGAATGGGTGAATGGGTGAATGGGTGAATGGGTGAATGGGTGAATGGGTGAATGGGTGAATGGGTGAATGGGTGAATGGGTGAATGGGTGAATGGGTGAATGGGTGAATGGGTGAATGGGTGAATGGGTGAATGGGTGAATGGGTGAATGGGTGAATTGGGTGAATGGGTGAATGGGTGAATGGGTGAATGGGTGAATAGGTGAATCGGTGAATGGGTGGATGGGTGAATGGGTGAATGGGTGAATGGTTGAATTGGTGAATGGGTGAATGGTGAATTGGTGAATTGGTGAATGGGTGAATGGGTGAATGGGTGAATGGTTGAATGGTTGAATGGGTGAATAGGTGAATGGGTGAATGGGTGAATGGGTGAATGGGTGAATGGGTGAATGGGTGAATGGGTGAATGGGTGAATGGGTGAATGGGTGAATGGGTGAATGGGTGAATGGGTGAATGGGTGAATGGGTGAATGGGTGAATGGGTGAATGGGTGAATGGGTGAATGGGTGAATGGGTGAATGGGCGAATGGGTGAATGGGTGAATGGGTGAATGGGTGGATGGGTGAATGGGTGAATGGGTGAATGGGTGAATGGGTGAATGGGTGAATGGGTGAATGGGTGAATGGGTGAATGGGTGAATGGGTGAATGGGTGAATGGGTGAATGGGTGAATGGGTGAATGGGTGAATGGGTGAATGGGTGAATGGGTGAATGGGTGAATGGGTGAATGGGTGAATGGGTGAGTGGGTGAGTGGGTGAATGGGTGAATGGGTGAATGGGTGAATGGGTGAATGGGTGGATGGGTGAATGGGTGAATGGGTTAATGGGTGAATGGGTGAGGTGGTGAATGGGTGAACAGGCGAATTTGTGAATGGGCGAATGGGTGAATGGGTGAATGGGTGAATGGGTGAATGGGTGAATGGGTGAATGGGTGAATGGGTTAATGGGTGAATGGGTGAGGTGGTGAATGGGCGAATTTGTGAATGGGCGAATGGGTGAATGGGTGAATGGGTAAATGGATGAATGTGTGAATGTGTGAATGTGTGAATGGGTAAGTGGGTTAGTGGGTGAATCAGTGAATCGGTGGATGGGTGAATGGGTGGGTGGGTGAATGGGTTAGTGGGTGAATGGGTTAGTGGGTGAATCGGTTAATCAGTGGATGGGTGAATGGTTTAAGGGTGAATGGTGAATGGGTGAATGGGTGAATAGGTGAATGGGTGAATGGGTGAATGGGTGAATGGGTGAATGGGTAAATGGGTGAATGGGTGAATGGGTGAATGGGTGAATGGGTGAATGGGTGAATGGGTGAATGGGTGAATGGGTGAATGGGTGAATGGGTGAATGGGTGAATGGGTGGATGGGTGGATGGGTGAATGGGTGAATGGGTGAATGGGTGAATGGGTGAATGGGTGAATGGGTGAATGGGTGAATGGGTGAATGGGTGAATGGGTGAATGGGTGAATGGGTGAATGGGTTAATGGGTGAATGGGTGAGGTGGTGAATGGGCGTATGGGTGAATTTGTGAATGGGCGAATGGGTGAATGGGTGAATGGGTGAATGGGTGAATGGGTGAATGGGTGAATGGGTGAATGGGTGAATGGGTGAATGGGTGAATGGGTGAATGGGTGAACGGGTAAATGGGTGAATGGGTGAATGGGTGAATGGGTGAATGGGTGAATGGGTGAATGGGTGAATGGGTGAATGGGTGAGGTGGTGAGGTGGTGAATGGGTGAATGGGTGAATGGGTGAATGGATGAATGTGTGAATGGGTAAGTGGGTTAGTGGGTGAATCAGTGAATCGGTGGATGTGTGAATGGGTGGGTGAGTGAATGGGTTAGTGGGTGAATCGGTTAATCAGTGGATGGGTGAATGGTTTAAGGGTGAATGGGTGAATGGGTGAATGGGTGAATGGGTGAATGGGTGGATGGGTGAATGGGTGAATGGGTTAATGGGTGAATGGGTGAGGTGGTGAATGGGTGAATGGGCGAATTTGTGAATGGGCGAATGGGTGAATGGGTGAATGGGTGAATGGGTGAATGGGTTTGTGGGTGAATGGGTGAATGGGTGAATGGGTGAATGGGTTGAATGGGTGAATGGGTGAATGGGTGAATGGGTGAATGGGTGAATGGGTGAATGGAATGGGTGAATGGGTGAATGGGTGAATGGGGTGAATGGGTGAATGGGTGAATGGGTGAATGGGTGAATGGGTGAATGGGTGAATGGGTGAATGGGTGAATGGGGTGAATGGGTGAATGGGTGAATGGGTGAATGGGTTAATGGGTGAATGGGTGAGGTGGTGAATGGGTGAATGGGCGAATTTGTGAATGGGCGAATGGGTGAATGGGTGAATGGGTGAATAGGTGAATGGGTAAATGGGTGAATGTGTGAATGGGTAAGTGGGTTAGTGGGTGAATCTGTGAATCGGTGGATGGGTGAATGGGCGGGTGGGTGAATGGGTTAGTGGGTGAATGGGTTAGTGGGTGAATCGGTTAATCAGTGGATGGGTGAATGGTTTAAGGGTGAATGGGTGAATTGGGTGAATGGGTGTATGGGTGAATGTGTGAATGGGTGAATGGATGGTGAATTGGTGAATAGGTGTGTTGGTGAATGAGTGAATGGGTTAATGGGCATATTGGCATGCATTGGCATGCATTGGCACCCTGTTCATGTTTCGACTGCTAACCGCCAGTTGCAATCGCACACCGTGCGCGTTCCGTCTGGCTTGATGAATCACCCAACCAATAAGCTTGGTGTGTGATGTGTTCTTATAATGAGGGTCGCAAGATCCTCGTTGTTGCCTTACCTAGAGCTGGCTTTTGTGGGATTAGATCCAAATTTGTGTAGATCCAACTTTGTAGGAATCCACCCTCACCAGGAAGGCATGGTTGCATGCTAAAGGGGCTCTTTTAAT